CAACTAAGGACAAAATTAGAGATCAAAGCAAATTACGGCAAGCGGCGAACCGAGCCCAGAAGTCAGATAACGAGCCAGAGAACAAGCCAGACATCAAACTCAAACCAAACCAAAATTCTGAGCTAAATGGAACCTGCCAGTATGCCAAAACTAAGAGGACTGTAAACAGAAAAGAAGTGTGGATCAGTGTGATCTTAAATAAACGGATGGAATGATAGGTGTGGGCGATTAATGGCCATGGAGGAAACTTACGAACTGGATTCTACATCAGATGTGACATAGATTAGTGGCTAAATGACTGAAAGGTCACTGTTAAGCGTACTGACATGTTGTGTGGCCACTTGACAAAACAAATGTATCAAGCCGCTAAAATCGCACGCTAATACTAATTAGCGATGAGGTATTAAGCGATGGTGTACTAACATTTCAGCACGGTAAACAAATACCAAATTAGGATAATTGTGCCGGCATTGTATGCACAGTGCAGCCTGCTATTACAGGCATTGACCAACCCACCATTTTGTTTTCCCTTGAAATCTGCGATATTTCATGAGAAGGAATCGATTTTTTTTTTTTTTGGTGGATCCCACGGTGGAACGTTTATAAGCTGCCACCATACTGCAGTAGTCAGCAGGTGAATGGAGTGAACGGTAGGCATCGTCCATTAGCGGCTGCTGAAGACAACAAAGGAAAACAGGAGAAGGGGACTCACAAGCCTGGGCGCGCAGCATCTCCATGCCGTAATAATACACCAGGGGTGTGTGTCTGCGGAAAGCGCACCGCGTGAGCCAATGTGCCCCGATTCATTAGCTCCTTGGCAACTGCCGAAAGGTATCATGGGAAATACTCCCTCTGGGCTCCCATCGACTGAGATCACAGCGGCTATGAGTGCAAGCTGTTTCCCCCGGCACCCCTCCTGTGCCGGCCGAGCTGACTTTGCGGATCGGGGATGGATTGGAAAAGGATCACAAGATCTCGCTGGCGCTCTAGATGCTTTGGATATGGAGTGCCAGTACTGCTTAATTTTGAAAGCAGAGGCAAATGGTCAGAGGCTGGGCTATTCGAGTTGTCAGGGTGGGGGGTGGCAGCAGTCAAAGTTAAAAAGTTAAAAATTTTATTAATCGAGGTTAGTTGAGGCTCGACGGAGTTTTAATGCAAAATTGTTCTGTGGGCAGAAGAAAAAAATGATTGGTTCAGGGAGATGACCAATCAAATTGCAGAGCAGGTGGGTCCAAGCAACTAGAGGAGGCAGGACCAAGACATTTCATTGGCTGGTCAAACTGTAATCTAGTTGCTTGGACCCACCTCCTCTACAATCTGATTAGTTATCTCTCTGAACCAATCATCTTTTCCTTCAACCCTCAGAAAATTTTTGTGTAAGTAAAACTCCCATGAGCTTAGTTGAGGCCCCATTTTAGAGGATGCCCCTGCACTTCAGCCCAGGGAAACCCATTCATCCATGTGTTAAAGTGGCCCAGGTTGAAGGTGATACGTACCAGCTTCAGTCTGGAAAGAATCATCAAATGCAAGAAACGCCAAGTGCTGGTACACAAGAAGGTGGATATTTATGGAGCATGGAGCCCAATTTTTATCAGTGTTCTGTATCCCAAATTATCTGTGTATGATCCATTATTGCCCCAGCACATAAGACAAATAATTTATTGATTTTTTTGGGTGTCCCGTGAATTTGCTAAGTTTCATAAGCTTTCAGAGCGGAAGAAATTGCATTGCACTAGAATCGCTTCCGATGCCTGTCGATGGAAAGTGGATTACATCTGAATTGCATTGTGCTTATAAATATTTCATTTCGGCTTTACACTTGACTTGTTTTCGGCAGATTTCCGTAATTGATTTTTCATTCTTTTTTCATTTTTATTTTGCCTGTTTCTGATGTGGAGTGTGGAGTAGGAGCTCGATAGTGGCACTCCTCGCCCCCCCAAGGGGGAAGCCGGCTGACAGTCCACTTGTGAGCCGTGACGCTCCCTGTTTCCTTATGTGGCTGGATTTTATGTGGCTCTCCTTAGGCTATGCTTTGGCGATGATGAGCTCTGCAGCCTGGCCTGTAAAGATGGGGCCTTGCAGATGGAAAGTTCTAGAACTGTAAATGTATGGGACGAACTGGCAAGGTAAAGTGTGTGTGTGTGTGATTGTTTGCTAAGTGTGTGATTGTGGGTGATCGAAAAGGGGCACTCAGGACCTCATAAGGGGGCCACTATCAATCATCCAGGTGCGAAGGGCAGGTGTTCAGCCCCTGCCCCCCAAGTCATGATGCGTGATACCAGAAGTCAGGTGGAACATAACTATTCCCCTCAGCTGTAACTATTACTGTACCTTGCATGACTTTGAGCACCTTCCCACGTTTGTTGCACGTAAAAAAAACCGTATTGTCAACATTGTTTTTACATTTTTGCAGTTTTATTAGAATTTGTCCCCTTTTGGCAGAGAATACAGTGCCTGTATGTATAAATAAACCTCTAAAGTGAATATCATGTCGCGGCTATGCAAAAGAAACGTAGCTACCGAAGTGTCGTTTGCTAACGTTAACAACACATGACATTCATTTGGCGATGGCGGCTAAACTAGCTCGCTTCACTAATAGTGGGAATCCCTGAGTCGTGTGCCTCTGAAATGGAGCGACGGAACCATATTGAGGTTGTCGGGACTGTGGCGACGCTTGACAAAGGTGTGTTGAGCAGCTATGCATATCACACTTGTCACTTTATTGGGACAGTCAGTGCGATGTCGGATGTGCTTTATGCCGGTGCTCTATCTAGGAGGAGAGCCACCCATGTCACAATACAACAGAGTGAATCGGCAGGGTGCAGTATGACTCAGCAAGTTAGGTCACTGTACTTGTGATCTGAAGGTTATTGGTTTGAGTCCCATCCTAGGCTGAATAGTCACTTGTCCATTGGGCCCTTGTATGAGGCCTGTCTTCTCCAGCGGTGCTGGATAAATGTACTTGTGCTCCTTGCTTCACTCTCAGCTGTACCTATGTTTGCGTCTCAAAGGAGAGCTAGATAGGATATGCAAAAACTGAAGACTTGCAATGTATTTGTACAAATGACAAATAAGGGATCATTTCAGTTTGATGTTGTGCTGGCCAAGGTTGGCTCACTGGGCCAGATGTCTCAGTTTTACGAAAAAGACTCCTTGCGTCCGGTGACATCAGCGTGAGTGAACTCACGTGAGTAAATGTCAGGCGGGGCCGTGATATTTAGTCCGCTAGCGGTGTGGGGTAGCGATAGGACCTAGGGCGGCTGGCTCGGGCTGGCTGTCAGGCTGACACCGAGGTGGCCCTGGGGACAGAGCTGCGTCGGGGACCTGCACACTGTCAGGCTCCATTACACCCCCGCCGCTGGCTTTACATCAGCCATGCTGCAGTCCTGTTGACAAATGGTGACCAAAGTATCCTACTCGTTACGAATCACAACGCTTAGGATCTGGCTTTCTGTCCCATGCTTACTATCCATTCTGACTATCCATCCTCTGCCCTGTTCTTGCTTCTCCTCAGCTCCTGCTGAATGCCTGAGGGCACAGCCAGACCAGCAGACTGTAATATTGAACCGTGAATTCCCGTAACTCGGTTGCGGTATCTGGCCTTCATTAAGGAATTTTTTGTGTGAACCCACACAAATAGGAATCCTGATTGATATGTTGCTGTTTATTCCCCCTCAGCATTAAGCCAAGGACCGGTTTTCGTCCAGGGATGTGCAAAAGTTTTTTTTGATTTATATATTTTTATTGTAGGATTTATCGATTTAAGATGTCTGGTTTTTTTTTTTACTTGAATATTAATACAAGTTGTATATTAAATTATACAGAAGAGAGCAGTATCGATATTCATCAAAGATTCAGGAGGCAGAGACTGTAAAATTTTCACAGTTACGGCTCAGTGAAGCAGCTCTCGTTAGGACCAAGCAAGGTTGTTCTCTTTTCACGAGTTGTAAACGTGACCAGTGTACAGGAGCCATGTTCAGTGTTCTGGGCAGGGCTAGGGTTCAGGTATAAGGTCCTGGAGCAAACATGCTTATGTGGATTTTAATTCAGTTACGATTTACTGCCCATTTTCAGAGCCGACTCGCGCGCAGAATGCACGAGCGCAACGTACATGAAAGTGGGATACCTTTCTTTTGTATTGCATGATCAGGGGAGGGTAGAAACAAAGCGAGTGCTGAGGACAAAGAAGAGATAATGAGCAGATTTAGAGGAAGATGAAGGAAGGGACATCCACCCATCTGGTTTGGCGAGTTCAGTTTCACTGAACTCGTCATGAATCTCACGTTGAAGCACACTTGGGCAATCCAGCTGATGTGTCACTATACGAGTAACCTTGAAATTAATTGCAGAAGGTTTAAAGCCCCCTTCTGCGTCGGTTACTGAGGCTTAGCACAGTGAGCGGTTCACACGTACACACTCAATGAGTCAGGGACGTCGCTGTGAAACTCCACGTCTGCCGTGCGACGGGCTGCTTCGAGACAATTTGTGTCCTGCTGGGTTTTTTTCAGGATTGTCATTTGAAGACTGTGGTATCCAGTGACAGCGATTGACTTTAGGGGTCTTGAAATTGAGGCCATTGTCTAGATGACTGTGTCCCCCCCATGTTACGGATGTTATTGTGGGGTAGAGGGTGATGGGGGGTGATTGGGGGGTTGGGGATCTCTAACAGGAGCACAATCTACTTGTGATTATGACACACACCGGCTGAAACAATCGCCAGCTGACCATCTTTTCCTAATAGCCCCCATTATCTGCTGCGAATCTCTGATTCCGTTGCCCAATAAGAACGGTGCATGGAGAGTTGACCATTTAACTTCTGTTAGTTTTATCAATTTAACAGCTCTATCGGTTCTGAAAACAAAGGGCTACCTTAGGCTATGGTCGGCATGGAAACAGGGGCCATGTGTTTCTTTTTTGTCAAATGATTCATGTTTTTCTCTAACTGTCTGCCTCTCTCTCTCTCTCTCTCTCTCTCTCTCTCTTCCTCCTCCTTACTGCAGGAAGTGGAGGTTAGTAGCCGTCCTTAAATCTGTCCCGTGCTCGTGTTTCTGTCCTGTGATGTCTGGGAAATGGGAAGCCTTCCGTGCCACTGTGGGTCGCAGATGTTTTCCTCTTGCTCGAATCGCGGGCAGGTGACGTCTCCACCAGACGGATGCGAGCGCTGCAGATTCTCCCAGTGGCGCCCAGATAGGGTGACCGCATCTGTAAGGCAAAGTCGACATGCTCCAGGCAGATGTCGAAGATACAGTGATACCATTGGTTTTTACCGTAAACTGTCCCTCCAGGTGGTTCAGAGTAAATCAATCTAATTTTTGTTGATTTTATACCCAGTCCGTCGCTCACAGATTAAAGGCCCAGAAAAGACATTATGGCGGTGGGACTTTGGGAATCTCTCGAGGGCGATATAATGAGAATACTGGGGAACTCCTGGTGCCGTGTTTATGAAGGCGTTGCTTTCTCCGGAGGGACATCTCTGCCGGAGTTACACTGCCACAAGCTCTATTTTGGATCGTTGTTTTTGCACCATCATCACTGGAGATGCAGTCAAAAAACGTCAGCTGGGTTGCACCAAAGCACTCTCTTACTCCCCCAAGAGCTGGAGGGGAAACAGCATGGGGAGGATTTCCACTCAAATATTTTTTTCCTGATCCACATACCGCAGACCCCAGGTTCTCCTGACGCAGCAATCTGTGGCCCTTGACGCAATCTGTCAAAAGGCTGCTAGTGTGGAACAGTTGAGATATGATGCGCGAGCTAAGTTTAGCTTCTTGCTAATTTCTCCACACTGTAAAAATTTTCGCTAACGATTGGTAGAGGCCCGGCATACGTTAAAATGGTTTGGAAATGCGGTATGAAAAGGGTCGATCTGATCGCATTTTCCAGTAGTGTTGGAGAATTGTACAATTTTGCTGCATAATTAATGTGCTCAAGAGGATTTTGATGCAGATTCCCAGTTTTGTTGTGTGTAAGCCTCTATCCAGTAACCTAATGAAAAGCATTCCCATTTCCCAGATATGTTTCCATCTATTGCTTGGTCAGCAGTTATGGTTGTCGGATGCATACAAACTGAGTGATTTTTGCTCTGCGCTGCTTGGCATGACGCACATGTCTTATCATAAGCGTAGTGCTCCCCCGAACATCAATATCCCTGATGTGTCCAACTTTTACATCATTCATTTGATATGCTGTGTTACCCGCCATGGAGGTAATGTTATTAAAGCTCTGCTTCTCTTAATTTCCCTTTAGGATGATTACATCCGAACTCTGGATGAAAACCAAGGCTCTGAGGAAAGTAAGTAGAAGGTTCGAAAGATGCTGCCATAGCAAGAGTGCTTTAGCGATACGATGCTTTACCAAACTTTAGTCATCATTGCTGATTTAGCCCTACATGCAGTTTCTGTTATTCTGGTGTTGAATGTTATATGCGGAATAGTTTGTGTTCAGGAGAACTCAGGAGGAAAATTAAGATTTACTTTGTAATTTATTTAGAAAAGTTCCACCATTGCCTATGTGAACACTGAAATTAGACTGGGAGGAGACTTCTGGTACCCTTAGTCAAGGATGACTAACAGAAGGAGCTCATAATTCAGACCTTTTAAGGGGACATGTGGCAAGCGAAACCCAATTAAACGCCGATGGGCCTCATTTAGATCTTATTGTATTTCATCGGAGTTTATTCTTTTTGTGCAAATAAAGTTTCTGTGCAGTGAGGTAAACCTGAAGAATATATGGTATCTGAAATGTAAAAATTTCTTTGTCATTCATTGTGTTGAGTACTGTCATCCCTTCACACACCTGAGTTTCACCCACATGGAATAGCCAACGACCCCCCCCCCACCTGAACACCAAGTGGACTCTGCTGGTTTCTGACATTGCACCTCTTCTGCATCACCGCTTAAGCTACTTGGAGCCTTGGGATGCTCACCTTGTTGCGAAAGCTTGTCTCTCTTTGTTGGCTTTCGACTCTGAGACCCCATTAGCGATTTGGTTTTTAAGAACGGCCCTTGCACCCTGATCTTCACCTGCCGACTTCTGACAACACATCGCGGCCTATTCGTAGTTGTATGGGGAAATGAGAATATTCAGCACATGCAACCTTTTACTGTTCTGCAGCAATGCAAGAGCGCTTACGTGAGAATTTTTGGGAATTCAGTGCGGCCTTAAGGTGCCTTTGGGACCATCGATGCAGTATCACATGGGCGACAGAGGCATATGAAATAGCTGTGAGCAGGAGATGCTGTGGTGACCACAAGCTGTACATTCAGCCTGTTCCATCTACATTCTGCAGTAACATCTGCTCTTTCGTGGCACTTGTTACCGGCAAAGGGACATCTGTGTTTTCTGGGGGTGGCATGATTTGCAGGAGATGGACCCATGAGGCCTACGTTTCAGGTTCTTGTCGACATCTGAAGCCTCAAGTCGGTTCTATAAAAAAAAATGATCAGGGCTCCTCTACAGCTCGAGAGCGGGTGTGATGTAGCGTGTGATAACGACATTGTCCGTGGTGTCCCAGCTGGTGAGGGACCTTCACGGAATGACTGCCCTGCCTTCCAGCCTGCCCACTCACCTGACCGCTCTCGTGACCCCCCCCCCCAGGTGTGCTGTGGGAGATCCTTCCAAGGCAGGTTTAGGGGGGTGGAAGCTAAATGTGCATTGAAAAGAGCTCCGCTCACACCCACGGTGCTCATTTTCATAGCATTGATCTCTCTCCCAGGGGGGGCCGACTCAAACTAAACTCATTCATCAGCCTCCCTTTCATCCCTGATTCGTGATGGCACTGGGAAAGGGAGGGGGGGCTTCCAAGAGTTTTCTCACATATTTTGGGCCCCCATCAAGACATGCGGCGTGGGCCTCTGGACCTCCAAGTATCCTAGCTTGGTCAGATTCCTCGTGGGGCGATGACCATGCCCCCCCCCCCCCGCCCCCAGTGCCTTGCCAAACTTCACATCTATCTTCATGCGCGAGCATATGACCTACAGCACAACAAAAGTCATACGTGTGCTGTCAGCCTACTTCTGCAGGGTGTGTTGGGATGTGCTGTAATAACATCTACCTGTACCTGGCATTAAAACCTGCAGTAACAAGCCTAAACGCTACATGGTGTATAACATGGTGCAGAACATGGCTGCGCATGATCAGTTTTGTGAAATATTTTTCCCGTGGCTTTACTATCCATCACTGTCAGCCACTGCCAGCCAGAACGGGACAGAATGACTGGGAGAGGATGACTTTTTTTTTCAAAATTCAGAGTATTGTTCATTTTTCGAACAAAGGTTTTAATTACGTAGCTTAACTTGGTAAACCAGATTCTGCCATTTTGGCGTAGTGTTTAATGGATTTGCTCATTCAAATACACAGCAAATTTACAAAAAAAAAAAAACCTGCTGTAATTTTCTCCAGCCCTGTCTATTCTAAAAGAAACTTGTAAAATGCTCACACTGATTTAAAGAACCACTAATTATGCATTACAATGTGAACTATCCTTGTAACATGACACTAATTGCAGCACAAGTAGAAACTGATTCATCTGTCATATAAAATATAAATGGTCCTTTGTCCTGATCTTTGTGAGAATGCTGCCTGTTTAACATAAAATCATTTCAATTTAGTCTGAAGCTAATTCCTGCTCTTCGAAAAAGCTTTCGCTGTGAACAGGTTGATTGTTTCCTGCATGACACACCCGTCGAAAATGTTCGGTGTCGGTCACAGAGCAAGAATTCATTTTATGAGGCTTCTTAAGAATCGGTGTTAGGAGAATATCAGAGGATTCGGAATGAGCTAGAAGCGTTAAATTGATGGGTTTCGCTTTGATGCTGGAAACCTTCGTATAACGTTTTTTTTTAATCAGATTAATGAATAGGTCCGTAGAGATTTGGCTGTAGCTTAGCCTCAGCATGGCTTTTTGTTTATCAGGAAATTGCCTCAGGCATTAAAATTATAATGGAATCTGGATATCCTGGTTAGGCAGTGGATCATGGAGGACCATGAATTGTGGAAAAGGATAAATGCAATGAAACAGTGAAATCGCACCGGCTCTTAATACTGTTTAAATCTGTCCTGTTTGACGTCGTGCTCCACTAAGCTGGATTTGGGGGTGTAATTCTGCTTGCTGTGTCTGTGAGCCCAGGGCATCCATTCTGCGGAATGTTCTTTGTGACACGCCAGGGGGAGGGCGTGTGTGTGTGTACACGTGTGTCCCTGCAGTTGAGGGTAGGGGCGTGGGGGTAAAAAGGGTGTGGGGGGGGAGGAGGCTGGAAATTACAGTCCAGAATTCCTAGTATCAACAAAGTGTGCTTGTTTCTATGGAAACACCATCCTGTCGAGATTAGCTGTAAGCTATGGAAACCTGCTCAGCAAAGTAAAACGTCTATAGTCTGCTTCTGCCGTCTTCAGCATAATGTTGCAGGCGCAGAGGAGACCGCGGACTGTTTTGTTTGCGAGGAGAGGGTGTTTTGTCAGGCCGGAACCCTCTGAACGACTGCTTTCCATGCTCTTGGCCATATCCAGAGATGCCACGGGCTCGTCACGGTGGCGAGACCAAGACTTTCCATTTTTGGCTGCAAACATAATCCATTTGGGTTCTCACTGCTCATCGTCAAGGCTCACTGCTGCCACGCCCCCCTCCTCTGGGGAAGGAGAACAGGACGGATGATGCCAAACCTCCTTGTCCTTGGTTTTTCAGGGGTGCGGTCAGTGTAATCACATGTAGGGGAAAGGGCAACATTATGCTGGATGCGGAGGACATATACACACTCACATGGGACCATTTTTAGATTTGTTTCCCTAACCTGGGTATTGTCCCCTATTCATTGTAGAAGGACAGACCCTCTGGATCAGCCTACCAACCTCACCAATACAATCCATGGGTGTCTTCCAGACCAATGGGATGCCATTACTTCCCATATTATGCTGATCCATCAATGTAAATAAGATTAGGGCCGCTGAACCCTGCTGGAGGAGAGAGTGACAGGCAACCAGAGAAAAGGGATCAACCCTTATCAGAGTCTCAGGTCCATTAGAGGCTAGTGCACCAAGGCCACAATGCTATGCAGATAATGAGCTAGCTTATCCTGGTACCAGCAGGACTCTCAGAGCATAATATAACATTCTGGCTTTCCTGGGCAGCTCCCATTGGACAAGGGCCAAGTATGACCTTGCTCTAATTGGTGATTTCATTATCGTGATATTTAGAGATAATGAGAAAGGCTGTCCATGTCCAGAAGGTTGTGGGTTCGAACCCCAAGGCCAACAGAGTTGGGTCCTTGAGCAAGGCCCTTAACCCCAGTTGCTCTGGTGATGCTGTCTGATGCTGCTCTCTGGCTGCTGTGGAGTGTGGTCTTCAGCAGATTTGGTCCTTGGTTGCTACTCCCGTCCCGTGATGGATCCAAGTCACCAAGTGAGCCACCAGCCCATAGCAGCCCATTTTCCCGTGCCCTCCCTCTTAACACGCTTCATCCTTTCACTGGAAGGTTTTTATTTTATGAAGTAATCATTTATCAAGCAACATGGTATTTGCGTTTCAAGCATGGAGCTTCAGATGATCCTGAATTTGAAAAATTGGTTTAATTTTCTTCTGGGTCACATGACTACACACCACTGTTAAAAGTATGAGACCATTAAAAACCTCTGGCTGGTACGATCTAATACATTCACATCGTCATATAAAACTGAGGCACGATACTCCGATATATATTATAGTTCCCAATTATAATATTGTAATATCTCAAACTGTCTGATATTTACACAGTTATAAATATTTAAAATATTGTATATTTTATGTCTAGTAATGTCTATGTGAGTTTATGATACAACTATCCTAGCCATATGGTTCTGACCCAAACCCCTCCCACCCTTACAGGCGTAGACACCACCAAGGATCCCTGCCAGAAGGTGAAATGCAGCCGGCACAAGGTGTGCGTGGCCCAGGGGTACCAGCGAGCCATGTGCATCAACCGCAAGAAGCTGGAGCACAGGTCAGCGGAAGCTAGGTCACCCGTGCGACACTAGGGCGGCACTGTACCCAAGGAGCCCATCAGATTCAGTTAGCTTTAGCTAACATGCTAAGTCAATTCCCGCCCCAGTGCCGTTCCTGTCTCAATGCTGGTTGGTTCCATTGCCAATGGTGTTATTTTTCTGTAATGTCACTTTCACAGCCAATGACGGTAATAATAATGTATAGTAAATAATTGACAGGTGAAAAAAATAAACTGGGGGGTACAATAGAGAGATGTTGTCGCCATGGTGAAATCGGTACTGAATGGGAGAGGGGCCTGGAAGTGAATTTTCGTTTTACAGGGTGGTTCGGGGAAAATTATTAAAATTCATGAGAGAAGCTACCTGATTGGCCAGTGAATGTATTCACATCGGTATGTGCTACCTGTTTTTTAGGGTAGCTAGGGGAAACTCATTAATATTTACAAGAGAAGCTACCTTATTGGCGGGTGAATTCTGCCTAAGGTATTCACTGACCAATTAGGTAGTGCTTCTCTCATGAATATTAATGAGTTTTCCTGAACCACCCTGTAAAATGAAAATTCGCGGGCTGGAAAACTGTCATCGCGCATGTGAGTCCAACGGAGCCGTAGTGACGCGCTGCCACTCTCTCCACCTGAGGCATCTTCGGCATCTTCGGCATCAACCTCGCGGCTTCGCTTCCAGCAACACTGTTACGCTACTGTCATTTTCTTTACTCACACCTTAAAAGCAGTCATGTTGCCGGAATTAACCCAGGAGTAACGTGTTTTCGTGTATTTCTCCTCAGTGTTATAAAAAAAAGAACAGCACTACGGCACTACGAATCTAGGCGTAATCTCGTTTTAATAGCGTGCTGGTTCAGCTCCTTCATAAAACAGGACAGTAAGCTAGCATATAATCAGAAAGAAAGTAATGGAGTGGAATATTATTACCGAGGACGTGCGTCACGCTGACAGAAATTTATATTCTTTAATAAAGAGCTTTATCTGGGGAGACTGTCAGACTTTCCCTCCCCGCGTGTCAGAGGAAGACTCGCCGCCCAGTCTCCTGCCGGCATGAAGCGCACGTCTCAATAAGGGAAGCGAGGCTCTCAAAGGCGCAGGCTATGAAGCGTCGCCGTGCCCATGAAGCAGGACAGTCTCGGGATTAAGATCCCCTCTCCTCTCGCCTGTGCGGGAACGAGAGAGACGCATTATTAAATCTCGCGTTTTGGGTCTGTCCGTGACATCCCAACCGGCATACCCCCCGACACAGGGGGACAATAACAGCGGCCTTTGTTGTGACACACCGGCAACGGAGTCCATTGACCATTCCGAGGAGGCCTTCCAAGCCTCGGTAATGTCACACGTCACGCGGCATCGCCTTCCCTCCTAACCCCCTTTCCCCTTAGGATCAGGCAGCCCGCGACCAAGCCGCACGACGGCGGCTGCAAGCCATGTCTAGCCGCGGCCTCCGCCCCCGTGTGCGGCTCCGACGGTCACAACTACGCCTCTCAGGTAACTGCAGCCTGCCCAAACACCCGTGTTACATGAAAAATGAGCACCATCCTACTTTTCTATCTCCCTTCTTCTTCCTTTCCATTTACCGTTTTTTTTTACATGTGGGAAGGTGCGTTAATGTATAAATTACCCGCCGGGGCTCTCGGCCTGTCACCCGGAGCGAGCGGACAGGCGCGTGAGATTTATGCGAGCCTGTGATTAATGGCCGAGCTTGACGTGAACGCCGGCGGTGCGGGCCAGCTAGCGCCGGTCCCTTTTATTGATTTATGTATTGTTTTTAATTTTGACCTTGTTGGGGAGATGGCTGTCCTCTTCAGTCCCCCCACCCGCCGTAGTGTCTCATTTGAATGAGCGTTTTTTCTTTCTTTCCCGGCGGTCACCTCTATAAATATTTTATCTGGGTCCAGGGTACGCCTCAGTACTTTGCCTGTGTGTGTGTGTGTGTGTGTGTGTGCCTGCCTGTCCATCTGTCTGCCTGTATATGTGTGTTTGTCCGAGGCGGTCCTCACAGCCTAGGATAGGTCCTCTCTGCTGGCACGCCTGTTTCATTATGTTACCATGGAGTTAGCGGAGTCTGTGTGTGCTTGCCTGAGCAGGGGTGTGTGTGTGTCCGTGTGTGTTTGTTTGAGCCAGTCCTCACGGCCTGGGAAGGATACCTTCTGTTGGCACGCCGCTTTCAGTGTGTCATAGCGCCGTTATCAGGGGTCTGCGCGTGCACACCCACGTGCCTGAGCGGGGGTGTGCGTATGTGTGTGTGTGTGTTTGTCCGAGCCGGTCCTCGTTGCCTAGGAAGGGTCCCTCCAGTTGGCCGCCTGTCTCGCTGTTCCGGTGTATGCCCCCACGTACATGAGCGGGGGTGTGTGTGTGTGTGCCGCAGTGCAAGCTGGAGCAGCAGGCCTGCCTGACAGGGAAGGAGCTGAGTGTGAAGTGCCCTGGCCAATGCCCCTGTGCCCCCGGGGGCACGCCCACCCCCGACCCCGAGGCCAAACATGGTGAGTGCCGGCGGCCCCCACCCACATTCCCTAACCTCTATGCGCCTTTCTGACCCAGAATTCCTACAGGGAAACACTCACTTTAAGGAAGGCTTTTCAAAGCCTTCTGGTCATGGGTGTAGGCGAGGGTTTGATATGGGGGGGGATACAATCATTTAAATGCAAAGGTCTGTTTACGGGGGGGGGGAGGCAGTAAATGATGCCAAATTAAATATCGGGGCCAAACAGCTCTGTCCGTTCATAATTCATCATGGTTAGATGCAGGAATAAAATGATTCATTTTAGTCTCTGTGACCATCTGATCATTCACTACTAGTGGGGGGGTCAGCATCGGCGAATCACAGAGATTACCCTGTGGATTAATTCGTTAGCGGTTTAGTTTTAATTGAAAACAGGCCATATGCTAAATCACTGACTCTGGTGTCAGGTAATTTATTATTTAGTGCGAGAATCCATTATAGCTAAACCTAAACCTACCGACTAGCTCTCCGTATTGATCCTTAGAGGAAAAAATGGTACATTGATGCGCTTTACATTATAGATGACCACATGTAGTGGGTCCAGATGGCTTTGTCTTTATGGAGGAAAATGGGATTGTGAATCTTTAGGGTTCATTACCCCGAATACACCTATATCGATGGCAGCCCTAATTAGAGCCGTTAGCATGTTAAAACCATTCATTACTGTAACTGTATGGTCAGCGTTCTTTGTATGTATGTGATGTCACCGTAGCATGCTCTGTAGAGGTATGTCAGTGGTCTATATTCCAAGGGCAGAGTTAGGTAATTCAGGTCCAGGGAATGAAAGTCCAGAGCAAGATTTTGTTTCAACTAACCAGTTGAGCATATAGAGTCACAGTCACAGAGTACTGAACTGGTTGGTTGAAACAAAGTTCCGGTCTGGACTTTTACTCTCTGGACCTAAAGTATCCAACTCTGTCCAGCGGGCTCTAGGACTCGACTGGCTCACTGCTTGCCTTTCCCCACAGAGAGCTGCACGGGGCAGGACCTCGCCGATCTGGGAGACCGCCTGAGGGACTGGTTTCAGCTTCTGCACGGAAACGCCAAGCAGAACAATTCCAGCAAGCTTGGAAGCAGCACCGCATCGGGTGAGATTCTCTGGAGGGACCGTTATCCATACCTGTTATCCACTGGCATGCCACGCTGGGCCCGTGTGGAACCAGGCTGGAGAACGCGGTACCGAGGGAACCATGTTGGTGATCACAGTTTACCGTTATGTCCAGACAGCTTCCAACTCATGAGCAGAGTTGGGTAATTCAGGTCCAGAGAGTAAAAGCCCAGACCGGGATTTTGTTTCAACCAACAAGTTGAGCATAAAGAGTCACAGTCACAGAGTACTCAACTGGTTGGTTGAAACAAAATCCCGGTCTGGACTTTTACTCTCTGGACCTTAATTATCCAACTCTGCTCATGGACGGCACAGGAAATGAACCGGGGGAAACCTTGAATTGGGTGCCGGTACATCACAGGGTGCCCACACACATGCTTTTACACTACGGATAACACAGCGATGCCAGTTAGCCTGACTGCATGTCCTTGGACTGCGTGAGGAAACTGGAGTCATTCAGAGGAAACCCGCACGACATGGGGAGAACATGCGAACTCCACACGCAGAGCGGAGGTGTGATTCTAATCCTGGAGGTATGAGACAGCAGTGCTACCCAGAGTGCCACCCAGTTTAACAAGGCGTGATGTTTACAGAACTGAAATTCACAAGTAAAATGATAGCCTTAGCATGTTAAATAATGGCAAGCATTTTTATTGAAGCAATTTTGAAATCTTTTTTAGTTACATTAATTTAATTAACTGGTGCTTTTATGTATCAGACAGAAATAACTTACACTTTTAACACAGGTACTTTCTACAGGAGTAATTTTGGTCAACTAGTTCAAGGGTACGGGAGTTTGGGCTCAGCTGGCTGTTCTGCCAGCATCTATCAGGCCATGGGTCCGTATCCTGAGGAATTATTTGACCAGGAGACCCATCAGGACTAAATCCAGCCAAATGGCAGCTGGCCGTCCCAAAACCTCAATTCTCGCTCCATTTCCAAGGAGTGTGAAAGAGCCTGGAAAATGTTTTCTTAAAATATAATCATTTTTTTTATGTGTCTCTAGTGCCTCGCAGCACAGTTTCTGGCGTAATCGGGATTTCAGGACCATTCATTTCACGCCTCCGGATCTTACGCTGTCGCCCCCGTGGCGGTGGTGTGTAACGTTTGCGGACGTAGGTGGTCCGGTCACCCCGAACAAAGTGTCCGCTGAGCGGATCTGTAATGCGATTCAACCACCTATACATGTTAAGAGATATGCCCAATTTAATTCATTAGAGGGGGGGGGGGAGACGCCACAGCACACGGCTCCCTGGAGGCAAATCTGTGCCTAATAATACATTTTGTGTGCATGTGGAAGCCTGTGGTTTCTGTGACCTTACAAGGCGCAAACTCTGGCTGCAAGGAGATTTCTTAAAAAAGGATAAAATACGTAGCTCGGAACATTTATTTTATTTTGACAGACGCTTTTGTTCAAAGCGACGTACGAGTGAGCCAAACGAAAAACCTGTGTTTCCTTTCCTGGTGGAGGTAAAGCGTTCTGAGTTGGCTGACTCCTCAGTGTGGTTTTCAGCAGGTCATTCGAGCATAAAAGGTGATGTTTAATTCATTATCTGCCCCCTTTTATCCAAGAAAACTTCATAAAGACATTTTAGTGGAGCAGTTCTTGAGTTTCAGGGCACTATAACTGGACTCCTACTGGGAGTTGAACTGGTAACCTTGGGGCTTGGAGCTGACAGTTCTGCCTCTCTGTTGTTCTCCCCAGTCCTGGATAAGAGCCTGGTGGCCAGCTGCAAGGACTCCATTGGCTGGATGTTCTCCAAGCTGGACACGAACGGAGACCTGTACCTGGACCAGCCAGAGCTTGCCGCCATCAATCTGGACAAGTACGAGATCTGCATTCGAGCCTTCTTCAACTCCTGCGACACCTATAAGGATGGCAAGGTGTCCACCGCCGAATGGTGCCTCTGCTTCTGGAGGGAAAGTGAGTGCCTGGCCACGTTCCCACATCACCCCCCCCCCCCAAACCGTGCACTGTATGTTGCTTGTTGTTACCCTCGAGGGGATCACATTCGCCGCTGATTTGCTCGTTTGGGTCATGGGGTCCGGGTGTACAGGCATAAGGTGGTACGGTCACGTTTTCTGCGGTTTGGCCCAATGTCACAGAGGACTGCGGGAAAGGACGGCTCAGAGCAGAGCCTGCTGGGTAAATATAGCCAAACACCTCTTCTACGCTGTGGATTAGTGCTACTGCATCAGTTACAAAGCACCCAAGGACAGCAGCTGAGCACTGGAGGTACACAGAAGGTTGTAAGAGTAATGTGGAGCCGGACCCACAGCCTGCAGCAGCAGCCTTGCACACATGTCATTTATTATTTGCTACATCCAGTTGTTTTTTTTTTTGTTTTGTTTTACGGCCATCCCCGGTGTCGAACGTGCACCCTCCTGCAGAGTCATGAGCACGACTCCCACCCACACATGCTCTAGCTTAAAGGGATCTGCGTTAAAACGCTGGTGACACTCAGAGTCACAGGGCATCCAATTTCCAACCTCCGCTCTCAAAACGTGCAGCCTGTACCCAGGTAGAAGGCCCCGCCGGCTCCCGGTGTGAGCCGAGGGGTAGCGTGGGCGGAAACTGGCTCCTCCACCTTATTAGTCAGCTGCAGGGTGGGGCGCTTCCCCAGCGGTTGCATGCAGATCTGTTTGCCTCCGCAAATCGACCGTGTACGTGACATGCAGGTACGTGAGGATGATGCGCAGGATTGGTGGTTGTGTGAAAGGCGAGGACGGGTTGCATCCCTCCCTTTACGGGATGGGAGTTTGAACTGCGGCTGGGTTCTGTGCACTGGAAGCTCATTAAAGATGTAGGAAGCACAGTGACAGAAAGAGGCCGGCAGATGCCGCATGACTGCCCTGAACTCCTGCAAATCTTCCTCAGAGCCCCCGTGCCTGGCGGAGCTGGAGAAGATGCAAGTGCAGGAGGTGATGAAGAAGAAGCCTGGTGAGTGTCGGGGTGTGGTCGGGGTGTTAGGGAGTGCCCATTGTCATTTTTATAGATTACTGTTGGTGTTGTATGTTGGATGTTTACAAGCAACATATAAATATGAATGCTGTGGTATGGTGTAACACAGTGGGAGGTATGAGGATGTGTATAAGCTTGGGTGTAATGCAGTAGGAGGTGTGAGGGTGTGTATAAACGTGGGTGTAATGCAGTAGGAGGTGTGAGGGTGTGTATACACGTGGGTGTAATGCAGTAGGAGGTGTGAGGGTGTGTATACACGTGGGTGTAATGCAGTAGGAGGTGTGAGGGTGTATATAAACGTTGGTGTAATGCAGTAGGAGGTGTGAGGGTGTGTATCAGCATTGGTACAATGCAGTAGGAGGTGTGAGGGTGTGTATCAGCATTGGTACAATTAGAGGTCGACCGATATTGAATTTTACTGATACCGATAGCTAGGTTGGTCCGTACTTGCCGATAACCGATTAATTAACCGATAGTTTTTAAAATGGATACTGGATTAAAAAAAAAAAAA